ATTATTATGAAATCTTGACACTATTTTAATAGAAAAATGTAAGTTAATAACGGGAGATGATAGCCCAAAAAAATTCGTTGTAGAGAGATGGTCGTTAGTTGACGTTGGACTTTAAGGGAGCAGGGTTGGCGCAGACCAATGTGTCCCGGGTTCGATTCCCGGACCCGGCGTCATTTGTGGGTTGAGTTTGTTGTTGGTTCTTTTCCTTTATCCGAGAGGTTTTCTCCGGGTTCTCCGGTTTTCCCCTTTCCTCAAAAACCAACATTGCTAAATTCCAATTCGATCTGGATTATTGCCAGGCACTTTATCTTGAGCCTCTGGCTCGGGTGATCGCGCAAGTACTCCCTGTGTTTGACATTAAATTTGCATTTACATTTTATTGTATTGAATTAAATTGATAAAAACTTTTGTTTTGTAGGCCGGCCGGTTTTTTTAGAACTTACTGACCGGATTATAAGGGAGGTAAGATTTTCAATTATCTCACGTCACCTGATCTCTTCTTTTCCTGAGGTAGTGAAGTAAATCCCCATTCTTTGCAAACTCCAGTACAAGGAACATGGGATTTGTCATAGTACAGCAGGCCAATAAGTTCAATATGTTCCGGTGATACCCGATTTGTTTCATGAGCTGTATTTCCTCTAGGAAATCTTGCATTTGTTCTTCTGCGGCACCATCTAGTAGAACAAAAACAAAAAGCATTTTTCACTACAAGGTTTAAACATAATACCTCAGAAATACATGGGCGAGCTTCAATTATAAATGAAACGTCAATCACGATCACAATTCCTTGCCTATTTAATGAGATTACCAAAATGCTTAACTCAAAATATATCACTCTTTGCGACTTTTCATTTTGCCTTTGTCAAGACTTTGAATGGTCGTTTTAAGAATAGGTTATAAAACGCTGACATAACCAAATCATACTTTGTAACATTTTCACAGCAACGGTCAGGACCATCTTCATATGCTGCTGCTCCTTATCAGTCTTACTCTGGGAAGATTTCCTTCCTTTTCCAACCTGTATGGGTTGTTTTAAAAGCCTGCCACTGTATACTTTCCCAAAAGCTCCTTCTCCAATAATCTTATCCAGGGAAATGTCATCAAAAAGCACTTCAAACGGATCAAAGAGTTCTGGATTGGATCTGAATAGGGAATCGAAAATATTTCTTTTGCTTTTCTTGTTAATTAATATTTATTGTTATTCCTTTTTGCGGTCTAGACCACAACCTTTTAAAAATTGTTTATTGTGTTTATTGTGTTTCTTGTGTTGCAAAAAGTTCATACGTCACACAAGTTACCCACAAGTTACCTAAGTTCACATTTTTTCGTAAATGAACCACACGCAGTATTTACTGAAGCCAACCAAGAGTATTCTTTATACTGACCTACTCTTTTTACGATATCTAAAAGCAAACCAAAATATTCCACTAAAACATAGCAAAGCCAAAAGCGAGCTGCCCNTAATTAATATTTATTGTTATTCCTTTTTGTGGTCTAGACCACAACCTTTTAAAAATTGTTTATTGTGTTTGTTGTGTTTCTTGTGTTGCAACAAGTTCATACGTCACACAAGTGACCGACAAGTTACCTAAGTTCCTATTTTTTCGTAAATGAACCAAACGCAGTATTTACTGAAGCCAACCAAGAGTATTCTTTATACTCACCTACTCTTTTTACGATATCTAAAAGCAAACCAAAATATTCCACTAAAACATAGCAAAGCCAAAAGCGAGCTGCCCACAATCTTCGCAACCAGTGGCAAAGAGGATTCCCCAGTGCTCTCAGTATGATGAGTTACATTCTTGAGAAGATTACTTCCTGTAGAGTCTGAATACACTGAAAGAACGAAATGCGACAACACCATGCAGAAAATGAATTTGTTTCTTTGACAAAAATATTTTACCCCATTTTGTTTATCTTTTAAATTTGAATCAGTAAATTCTAAACTTGTTGTTATCATTATTACATGTATTACTATTTCAATGCCGCTTGTGACTTACTTTAGAAGCAGTTATCTCACAAATGTATTCAATAATGCTATGAATGTACCTTAGTAGTAAACAACATAAATCTTACAAAGTCTTATGACTACCTGTACAACGATTATACAAAAACGTCGACAAACGCTATAGCTTATATCAATTCTTCATTTCTTGCCTTTACGTCTAAATAACATTCCGACGAGCATTTTAAATAGTGCTTCACGAAGGAACCTCTCCTCACGGTCACCTCCAATACAGACTCTCAGTTCTACCTCTTTGGTGTCCGTGTAAAAGAGGTTTGAATCTATACTTAAGATTCAGAGCCACCTTAAAATGATAATCTAACTCTGCTCCAAAGTGAAAAGCAAGGCTGGACATACTTGAGCATCAAAATAAGCTGGAATCATTTTATCGAAAAATTTTACAAATAAAGGCATCTATCTACCTTTACATTTCTGCCAATTGCAGCTTTTTGTGGCGATATTTGCCCCATGGCAATCCTTTCCGTTCCATTTTGGCGCTGGATTCGAACACGTGCGAGCACGTGTCCTGTGTCCTCCTCCACACTTCACGCTGCATGGTTGCAATGACGACCACTGGCTCCGACTGCCATTCACTGATGATTAGAAGAAACAATCTAAGACATGAAACCTTTAAAAAGTGTATAAACTGTTGACTTTAAATACTGTTCGGCTTATGCTCTAAAACGACGTTTAAGATTGCGTTGCTAACCTTCAACAAAGCGGTAAACAAATATCGTCCATCTATCTCCCACGCTATAATTCCATAAACAATTGTCGGAAAGCCCATATCTGTTGTATGTCTTATCACCATTCACCCCACTCCAGCACTCGTGGCGATATTCCACGCCAAAATACCAGAAGCCGTACTCATACACTTTAGCAGCACACGCCTGAATTATGGCTGCGAGTGAAATGGCAAAATCTGAATAGTTGATAGGGTACTTACGGACTAATAAGGGTAGTGCGCGTGGATATTTGGAATCTCGGAAACAACCGACTGGTTCATACGGATGCAACCCCGTGCTATCTGTGTAGAAAAGACGAGATCATCATTTAATAGAGAAGTCAAGAGATAAATTAGCAACCTGCATAGATTGTGGTTCTTGCTGCGCATTGCATGAGAAGTTCTCAAATCTGCAGCTTGCATTTATCTGGCGGTATTCATTATCGCTCGTTTACCGCTTCGCTAGTATATATATATTTTTTATTTTTTGCGGGAGAATGGCTGCCCAGGCAAAGATGTTGTCATCGGGCCGTATCGGTACAGTCATAAAACACAGTTGTTTATTGGCTTTACTATAATAGTGCAGAGCCCTGCGCAAAATTAATTTGATGAATATCTGTCACATTAAGGCAAGGAGGGTTGCCACTGATTTATGAACTCTGCGAGAGTTCCTTTACAACAAATGAATAAACACGATAAATGACTTCATTAGCTAAGGACTAGAACTTTTAATATTCTGGCCCTGGCTTGTTGAAGTAGTTAGTATGGGAAAGGCCATAAAATATTAGCTCTTAACCGTTTGAAGGTAGTACATGTAATCGACACCATTGTGTGTAGTCTTTGAAACCATGGTGACGTTAACAGCACTAGCTTTGCGTTGAAGCCAACATTACTTCGTGAAAGATTTATCGATTAGATTTCGTTTGGATACTCCTTGATATTTAGCCTGTAAAAAAGGGCGAGGTTTTGTCATAGAAGATAAACAGATCCCAGTCACAGATATTTTTCAATACGTGAAAATGTTTTCATGGACAGTGTTTCTGAATGAGCGATGGAATAAAGATACAGAACTGACTCAAAAAAAGCGTTTGATAGGAACTTTTCTCTGGCCAAAATTTGAACATCATTGTTGCTTACAAGATGGTATCTTATGGTTATACGTACTTGACTGTGAGATGCCTTCATTCGGCCAAGCTTGTAGCATTATGATTCCGATGAACATCAATCCGCAATGAAAAATTGCCTTGATAATGATTCCTCGCTCGAAATGTTCTCGGGAAAGAATCCTCATTGCGATGGCTCTGAGGAGAAAAATAAAACATGCAGTCGTCACAATAATAGTTACAGCAAACCTAAGACAAAGCTGCTGCAATTCGCTGTCTAATTAATAGGTAATATTGGGTTAGTTTCCGACGACGCGCTTTCCATCTAACTTTAGGGCAGAAATATAAGAAAGAAAAAAAATATATAGTTCCTATCTAAAAACCATTTGGAACTATATAAAATCTTTCTTTATTTTTACGCACGACACACGACGCACGGCGTGGCCACCCAGCACCCGCACCATTTAGCCTCATTCTGACATAGAAGATGTTGGACTGAAGATGACCGATATTAGATCTTTCGCAGAGGCTCTAAAGATCTCCTGGATTAAAAAAATCATGACACGTTAATCGCCAGGCAGACTGGAAAAGGCTCTCTCTTGTTTTTCGATCGCCTTTAATGGGACGATGTTTCGTTACTAAACAAAAAAAAATCATTGGAAAATACTTTCTGAGGAAATGTTTTTAAATCATTGGCGCGAATCTGTAGAAGCCAGCGACTTCTTGTTACAGCCATTGTGGAATAATGTTTCACAAAAGATAGAAAGAATAAGATAAAA